GTCACAGTTTAGGTTGGAACCCTGAAACCTCAGGAGTTTGGATAAAGGAATTCTGTGGTTTTGAAAGAAACCCACACCTCATGTTCTTAGCATCATCTTCCATGGTCCTTTCTTCTCCAGCCTAGCTACCACACAGACAGGGGTTCCTAAATCATCTCTACATCCTTTTCATTGACCCTTGGTACTTCCCGAGATTTGGCTGCCTCCCTTTTCTGAAACATTCTCATCCTTACTAATTTATAGGCATGACAGACAGCTCCTTTGCAAGGTCTAATCATTTTTCAACTCCAGATGAGCTAGCTGTTTCCAGTATTTTAGGCAACTTTGAAAGGGTAGACTTTCTTTGTCCCTCCCAAATGATTAAAACAAGAAGTTCCCACACAGGAAACACATAAAGCCCTCAATTTTGTCTCACTTTGATAAAGAAGGAAGCCAACTCAAAAATGATAAGTTTTTAAGCTTTTTTTTCCAGTTTGCTCTGAGACCATCAATAATTACTCAGAAGTAGAAACACCTTGTCCCAATTCAAATAGGCAAGGCCAGGCTACCTTTCTAGCCTCCCATTTCCCTTCTCTTCCTGCAATTCTCATAATGATGCAGTGTCTAGACTACTTGGAACAAGTGAAAATGTCAGGAGTTTCTTTTGTGGCTTTGCAAGTGGCCAACAGTCCTCCACACATCCATGGCAACGACCAGGGCCTGCAGAATATATAGAATTTATCAAGTACTCACAAGAGAAAAGACACCCATGAATACCCTAACTTCAGGCTTCTATTGAGTGGGAGAGATGGTCCAGACTCCTCCATGCAATCTGCCATTTCATTTTAATGTGGTTCCTTTCCACGGCTCAGTCAAAAATGTTCCAAATCATTTGATTTGTATTCATAGAAAATTATGTCGAATTCATGCTTTTGGAAGACACCATTAAAAAGTAATTAGTCTAGGATTAGTGAGACATCTCAGTGGGTAAGCATGATTGCTGCCAAACCTGATGACCTGAGTTTAATTCCTGGGACCCACACGATAAAAGTGGAAAACACAAACTCCAACTGCCACATGTGCACTGTGGTGTTCATTCCCCACACGCATACACACATGCCTCTGTGCATACAAAGTAAAATGTAATTTAATAATTAAGACCTACAGTTATCAGCTCAAAGTGTGTTTATCTATTCCTGTAAAATTGCCTTAGTAAGAAATCCAAAGGATTTTGCCAAGTCTGAAAGTCAGAGTTGAACTCAATGGACCACCATAAGGACAATCCTGAGTCTGATCCCCAGCCTCAAAGTAAAAGCCAGATGTGGTTTTACACACCTGTGAACACAGCCCTTGCAGAGGAGGAAAGTAAATGCTGGCCCTGGGGACTGATTGCGAGCCAGTCTGGAGGATCAACGAGCTGTGGTTCAGTCAGAGACCCTTTCACAAAAGATAGACAGTGATAACAGAAGAGTCGAGCAGGGCTCGAACAACCAGGATTGTCGAGTCTGAGCACAGTTTGTGTGTGCTCGCACAGAATTCCAGCTGAGGGCTGGGATAGAGGTGCAAAGCTATTTGTCATTAACAGCCTGAAGCTGGGGCCTGAGTTTGCAGCCAGCGTCACAGCCATGTTCAGGAAGGGCTCTCTCCTAACTTGGCAAGGCTGTCACTTCTTTAGGCTTTCCCCCCTGGAAAGTTTGTCACAGGAGAATCTAGCCTTCAGTTTAATCCACAGATAATAGTCTTCAGAGTCTTAAATCTACACAGCACTGGCTTGCTTAGCATAATCTGCCCTTAATTTTTAGATCTCCTTATTACATTTTCTGTGACAAGAGTAACCAGAAAGGTATTCCTGCCCAACGCTGACTGTCAGAATGTACTGAACAGAGCTGCTCTCAGTCTATAAAAATCTTTACTGTTCCTTTCAGTATAGTGACATAATGTTAAATCACCAACTGTACAGGGTAGTGTTCCCTACAAGGAAATCAGAGGCTATGTGTACAGAGATAGAAGGTACACAAAAGAGGCTGGGGCATGGCTCAGTCAGTAAAGTGCTACACTGCAGGGACCAGGACCTGAGTTCAAATCATAGAACTCACACAATAAAAGCCAAGCATGGGGATGTGATCTTTTAATTACAGAAGAGAAGACTCTGGGGCTTTCTGCTCAATCTCTGGGCCAGTCAGACTACCCTGCTTAGCAATTTCCTGAGCATCGATAGGCACTGTCTCTCGAAATGACAGATAGTGCCTTAAGAATGATAATGGAGGCTATCTTTTGACATGTACACATATGCAGATATGTGCACATACACAGACACACACACTCACATACACACAAGACATGTGCAAAATGTTTGAAAATATAAAAAATTCAGTTGATGACGTTACCATCTTTTAAAGTTTTAAAAGAGTGTTTATTGTGGTGTGTGTGTGTGTGTGTGTGTGTGTGTGTGTGTGTGTGTGTGAAAGAGAGAGGGGGAGGGAGAGGGAAAGAAGAGGAGAGACAGAGAGGGAGAGAGAGAATATGAGGGTTTGTGCACATGAGTGCAGCACCCACAGAGACCAGTAGAGGGTCATCTCTTGAACGTGTAATTATAGACGGCTCTGAGCCACCACTGGGGTTCTGGGAAACAAACTCCAGGCCCCTGGAAGAGCAGCCTGTGCTCCTAGCTGCTGTAGAATGAGTGGGCCACCCTCCAGACTCAGACTTCTGTGGAGAATTTGAGTGTGAAGGCCTCCATGTTCTCAACCCCACTGAATGTTAGCAAAGGAATGAAGACTTATTGATTCAGTTTTCCAGAGGCAAAACACAGATGGGGCCTTGAATAATCCGGTCATTTGAGGAAGCTTAGCCAGGAATCACATAAAGTGTTCTCATTAACCAGACTGCCTGGGAATGCTTTAGCTTGGCAAGGAGCTCTAAATAATTCACTGGATTCCCGTACCAGAATCTCAGGCGTGCCTCCTTATAGACACAAACAGCAGAAAGTGAACACATTAAAGTACTGTCCTGCCCCCGGGGACCGGTGACATCAACCTGCACAAAAGTCATGCATGGTAAATGATTAGAGCCAGGGGCAGAGTTCATAGCTAGTAACTCTGATTGTAAAACACCCCAGTCATTTTGTCCTCACCGCTGCCTCCCCCAAATCCTACAGAGAGGAGTCAACCCTTTTGCTAGTAGGTAAGAAGTTTCGTAAGGTACCACCAAAGTCTAGGAACATGAAGACCAACCATACCATTCTGCAGCGAAGCAAGTCCAGATAATCATGGTACACGTCTGAGACTCAGCAGGGGGAAAGTGTGTTCCTTAGAATATCAGGTCTAAGCAAAGGTCCCACAGAAATAAACATGACGCAAATGCTGCTTTAATCTGCTTTAAGGAGGCTTTTAAAAGCACGAATCTTCAGCTTCTTAACATAAATTATATTATTCACTTTTATTTATTGAAAGAGTGAATATATTATACAGCATTGCTCAAATGCATTTAGAACCCAGAGTATTTTTCTCTCTGAACAAGTAATATTTCTGAGGGTTGGGGAGGATACTTGTGTGTGTTCTTTTTCTTTTAAGATTCTCTCTCTCTCTCTCTCTCTCTCTCTCTCTCTCTCTCTCTCTCTCTGTGTGTGTCTGTGTGTGTGTGTGTGTGTGTGTGTGTGTGTGTGTGCGCGCGTGTGTGTACAAATGGAGTGACTGCTTAGACGATACAGGGAACTGGATCTCCTGGAGTTGGAGTTACAGGTGGTTGTGAGCCATCCAATGTGTGTGTAGGTAATGAAAGAAAAGCCAAGTCTTTTACCAGAGAAGCAAGTGCTTTACCAACTGAGCCGTCTATCAAACACCATCTCGGGGAGTTTTGTTGACAAAGTACATATCTGGCCAAGGGACGCCAAATGTGAAATTGTATTTGCCAAAATGTCACTCTAACGTTCTATATTCATTTGAAAAATTGAAAGAAGTATAATATCTGAATATTTTCTCTCCGCTCTAGGGTACAAAATAATGAGAAGCAGTGGCTGGGGAATCTGGCTCAAGATTGGATAGATATATCTTGGGGTTGGTGTGGAATTGTATCTGAAGGAATTCAGAATGACTGAGGACCATGAAGTGTGTTGATTTGTAATGAGACATAAGGGATTTGACATAGATACTGTGCGTCTGTGTGTGTGTGTGCACGTGTGTGTGTGTGTGTGTGTGTGTGTGTGTGTGTTTGTGTGTAGGAATCTTATCTTAACTTGGGTCTTCATCAAGAGGAGAATACAATCTTAAAAGTTAAAACATCTCTCCAGGCCAATGGATTGTGTTTTTTATAAGATATTAGAAAGAAAATGCTCATAGTACCTTGAGGATGACATAGAAAGGGGGGGACAAAAGCGACTTCAGCATTTCCCCTGACGATCCTGCTCTCCTTTGCTGTGCTCAGGATGGACCTCACAGCCTTAAATATTTTAGACGATTGCTCTGCCACTGGGAGACATCCCCAATCATTTACTTTATATTAACTTTATATTAACAAGGTGATGTGCAAGCACCATTTGCCCACTAATGTATTGCTATGCAAGTGTTTCTTACATTGTTCCTCAGCACTTTCAGTTAAAAATCATTGCTTACAAATGATGAAGATTCATTCATTCAACAAATTCCCATCAGGAGCCTACTGTATGATAGGTTCTAGAAAAAAAAAAAACGGAGGGAAAAAAAGACATCATCTTCACACTTGCAGAATTGGTGTTTCGATGTGAAATAGACATTCCAACTCTCACATGGAGATCCTAGACTGTCACTTGGGGGGTGGGGGGCTGAGGTAACCTGTGCTGGTATAGAAAAGATGAACATAGTACTGACATAAGGTCATACAGTAAGCAGGAGTCACTGTTGAAGGAGTCATGCTGATAAGACCTGCCACTGCTGAGCTTTGGGTCTAACCAGTCATGTGCTGTCCATTTGTCCTCTTATGCAGTGTCTGACTTGTTCGCCGTTTGCAACCCCCAGGTTCATGTGCATTTTTTTTATTTTCTCTAGTATATGACTGCTGCTCCTATGCAAGGGACCTACATTCCCCAGTACACGCCTGTGCCTCCGACAGCTGTTTCTATTGAAGTAAGTCTATCCCGTAAACTCAAAGAGGCTAGGACAGAGACGTCTCAGCCACACAAATCCCCATAATCCAAGGAATTCTCAGATAAAAATCTTTCTGTTCTTCTAAAACTTGTCCCTGTAAGCCGAGTATACAGAAGTCTATACATGGGCTCAATCAAACCCACATTTTGCTTTAAATGTGTGGTTAACGAATCTTATAGAGAGATGTAAAGGAAGAATAATTTGCATGCCTAGACAACAGTTCAAAGAACAAAACCTTTTCCCATTAAATGTAGACCACACTACATGAACTGCCATTGTTGTTAGAGAGGAGGAGAAGGTTCTAAGTTAGTTCTTTTTCCTATTGCTGTGATATATAACAAAAGCATCTCAAGACAGAACAGGTTCATGATGGCTCACAGTTCAAGAGGACCATCCATCATACGCTGGGGAAATCAACGAGACTGCTCATGCAGCTGCTTGAATCACATGCACAGTCAGGAAGCAGAGAGCAATGAATGCATGCCGACATTCAGTTTCTCTTTCTCCATTCGCACAGCCCACAGTCCCAGTCAGGGATGGCACCACCTACAGTTCTTCCCACCTTATTAATGCAATGAAGATAACCACCCCCACAAGTGGATCCTGGGCTGATCTCCCAAGTTTGATCCTTCAAGCTAAGAACCAAAATTAACCATCCTTACATCACTTAGGGGTTTGTTGGAAAGGGGCTGTATCAGATACCACCACTCTGCTTCCTGAATCTATCTGTTAATTTTAAGATGGTCCCTTGAGAATCCAGTCTTATGAAATGAGACAGCACCCTGATGCTCAAACTCTTATGCTAATTAAGATTTATTAAAGGGGGTGGATATGCTATTAAACATATGGATTCCTGAATTTGGTTACAAGAGATTCTTAGTAGTTTATCTGGAATATGTACTAGGTGAAGGGGTATTTAAACAATTCCAGAAGATGCCAGTAGGTATTAAGAAATGAGAACTGTTGTTCCCATTGCAAGTGTACTTACTGCGTATGAGGCTATGGGCTCCATCCCTAGCACGCTAGAAAGCAAATTTGTAAAAGCCCACTGTTGTAATAAATGGATTCAACATACTCTGGCTTTCCTAGAGACGGGAAAGATGTAATTGAATCACTGTGAGTATCACGAATTGTGCTGTCATCTTGTCCTTAGAGGAAGTAAACACCTTCTCTCTTTTTGTTGGGGCAAATCTACCCCTGACAGCTCTCATTTTACTGGACGGAGCTGTAAAGGTACAGAGGAAAGCAGAGAGCCACACAGATGGCGGCAGGCACTTAGACCTTATCCACGGTCACTCTTCTCCTAACTCCCAAGTGCTCTGTGGTCATTGGTGGGCATTACTTCCCATTGGCTGGAAACTGAAAAACTAATCAATATACTTCCGCAACACTATCTTTCCTGCTCTAATGAAACCAGTAACTAGAGTGCTCTACTTCTCCGTGTGAAAATTCACCAGTAGGGAGGTCGATGGGGGTCTTTGCCAAATAAATTGGATCTCTGAAAATATTTGCAGATTTATTTTTGGAGTGTAACAGATGCGTACTTGAAGACAAGTAAAGAAATCCCCAAAGATTAACAAGGCATTGTTATACAATCTAGGAGACGAGGACTATCATATCCTTAGTGCTTTGAACTTTCTAGACTGTGGGTCCAAAGTCATGGCCTATTAAGTAGGTTTTAATTGAAGTTCAGGAACATGAGCTTAGATTACATGGTATTTGCTATATTGAGTGACTTAATAACCAACGCATAAGCGCCATGAGCATAAACCTCTCACGTATTTGCCTTTCAAATGCATCTTCACCAAAGGCTTATGTGACTGAGAAAGCCAGAGGCTTTCATTGGCATGGAGTAAGAGACACATGTAAGAGAGTGCCTTTGTAGAGTTAGATCTCAAGTTGGAGAGAGAAGACTATAACTGTCCTCACTACTCTGCCTTGAATCCATGCTTGTGAAGAAAAAGAACTTAGTCATGTTCATGTAAAAATACCAGAAGGACATTTGTTGGTATCCATCCATGGATCAATGGACCAATCACAAACCAATCCTTTTTGAGGGTTCCAAAAAGAGAAACATTGTCTCAAAAAAAAAAGTACAAGACCAGGAAGTAAGCAATGGGGACAACTAAATATAATGTATGTCACCCACATCACCATATCACCATATCACCTATATAACCCATGGCAAGTATCCAAGATTACACCAGCTTGAAGCTGCCGTGGCTGCAGTTTAACCTCCTTCTCCTTCTCCTCTTCCTCCCCTTCTCCTCATCCCCTCTTCCTCTTTTATTTCTCTGACGCCTCTGTCTGAATAACTGGTCATGTCTTATAAAACAAACCAAAATAAAACGAGAGAGAGAGAGAGAGAGAGAGAGAGAGAGAGAGAGAGAGAGAATGTACATAAGAACCTAAGCCAGTTGGCACATGTCTTTGATCTAAGGACTCTAGAGGCAGAGACATGAGTTATAAGGGCTACACAAGGAAACATTATCTAAAACAAAACACAAACAATAGCAACAGCAACAAAAAATTTTATTCAAGAAGCTAGAAGGAGAGTTTTTTTTTCTTTCATAATACAGAAAGTTGGTTCTCAGCCCCCATGTCAAGAGGCCCAGGAACATCTGCAACTCCAATTCTACCTTCTTCTGGCGGCCACGGTCACCCACACACACACACACATGCACATCTGTACAAAAATAAGAATATATAATAAATCTTCAAAAACATGCTTAGGTTGTTGTAGGAGAGCCCGGACTGTTATTATAGACAGCTTTAATTGAGGACAGAGTCCTCTTGTAAATAAGCTTGAAATGGCTTTTTGACCATACAACCCTGCCAAGGACTTCTGATGGCAGAGCTTACTGGTGTTTCATCATCAATACAACAAGATCAACCATTACAAAGCGTACCCTGACGTTTTGCTTTGTGCCCATGCTGTGGTTTCCTGTAGCTGAGGGTTATCTCTTTTCAAACCCGACAGAAGAAGGTCATTTGTGCAGCATCTAGAGAGGGCCCTTTGCTGAAACAAATAAGGGCTATGTGTACCGATTTGCCTCTGTAGGGTGTTGTTGCTGATACCTCTCCCCAGACGGTGGCCCCCTCATCCCAGGACAGCAGTGGTCAGCAGCAACAGTTAGCAGTGGACACACCCAGTGAACATGCACCGGCATACTCCTTCCAACAGGCCAAGTAAGTCCGCGCTGTGCTGGGCGCCTTCTCTCGTAAGCAGAGATCCGGAAGCCCTTTTCTCGGAGTGTTTCTGTTTGTTATGGTTTCACAGAAATCACCCATAAACTTAGTGATAGCATTTCTCAAGCTCATGATCATGTGAGCTGCTCTCAGCCGGCTTCCGGTGAGTGGATTTTCCAGTCTTGACTGTACTTGGCCCCGTGTGTGAGTAATTGGTCATCACGACCCTCTGCTTTGGGTTGGTGAAAGGTTGACCATATGCTTCTCTTCTTCAACTAATCAGTTTCCAGACAAGTTAGAATTCCAAGAATAGCAGGAAGCAAACCCAGTAAAAGCAGGCACCCAGTTTTGCTTTTATAGTATCCTATCAGTTAATATAAGTCACATGACCCAACAGTCAATGAAGGTTCTCACTTCAAGAGAGAACCATTGCGGTCATTAAAAAAAAAATCTATTCAATGCTGTTGGGACAAAATGTAGTATTCCCACTTTAAAACTAGTGACCAGACATTCTGTTCTTAATCTCTTAAACTATTACAGTGACATTCTCATTGCAGGTTGACTTTGAATACTTGGGCAAATGGTCATAGAAAAGTAGAATATCATTAAATATATGATAGAAATATTAAGCCCTCCCTGCCCAGGAATTAAAGAGTGGAAGAGAATAACTATGTACTCAGAATTACTCATGAAAAAATTTTAATCACCCATAAAACAAATTACGTTTGTCTGTGTGTAGAGCAAATAAGTAGATTACATTCTAAGGGCTCTGCTCTGAAGTGGCGAACTTAACAATGGGAAAGTATATATGGAGAAGCCTCTGTGAGCAAACTGTCCAACTTTGTGCCTCACGACCTAACCTCTGATGAACAGAGACTATTCAGATGAATCTGCTTGCAGAGTCTTGCTTTCTGTTCTGTCACTCCTAAAATACAGAAGAAGCTGAACATATCATGCCTGTAGTCAACAGATGAATGAATAAAGAAGTGTGGCCTACACCCACGTGATAGAATTTTATCCAGACACAAAGAAGAGTGAAATGATGTTTCTATAAAAAATGGTTGGATTGGAAATCATGTTAAGTGAAATAAGCCAGATTAAGACAGATAGTATCTGTATCTTTATTTTCACATGCAGTGTCTGAATTTACATATATACACCTATATACATATATGGATACATATATCTACACTCACAAGATAAAAAAAATAGAAATTATGTTATTTCTATTCCAGTGTAATGGAAAATGTATCTCCAAAACAATTTAGCTAGTCTTAGCTAGGATAGCTTTCTTCAGTACCCTAGATTTCACAAACTGGAAGCCTCTCCTTCCCAACATAGTTGGCTGATGAACAAGCTGCTACTTTACTTAGAGGCCCTTTTCTTGGGGTCACTATGCTAAATGAGATATAGAGATCTTTAAGAACTTCCTAATGGCTGACATTTCTTATTAGACACTAGCTGACCCACCTGTGGGGTGTGAGGTTCAAATGGGGCCATCTAGTACCCCTGAGAAGCAGCCTGATACATTACATACATTTAACGTTAAGATGTCTACAGTCAAGGATTGCAAAACACAGCCAGAACAGGCAGAGGTCTCAGGGACACATTTGTGAAACACAATGATGGGGCTTGTGAATAAAACGTCTACCACAGACTATTTTCATTGTCTACTGTCAGCTACGCCAGCATAGCTGACTCAGTTCCTTGGATCGGCAGAGGGCTGAGGGCGAGAGAATGAAAGACAAGGAGTCATCTGGTAAAGAACCGAATGCTATATTTTCACCTGCATAGCTCCCTTTTATACTCCCCACAAAACAGGAACACAAACAGGAACAGGAATAAAAACAGGAACAAGGATCAAAACAGGAACAAGGAGATGTACTCAGCAGGCTACCACCTAAATTTGGATTTCTCCTTGAGCAGTCTTCTCAGGGAAATGCATAGAGACAGGGGATCAGATACAACAGCACAGGTGCAGAGGATGGTGACTCACAGTCTACATTTTACTTTTCATGCTAGAACAGAGAACTTGGAGCTGGAGAGGCGGCTTAGCAGTTCAGAGCACTTACTGCTCTCCCAGAGACCAGTGTCTTGTTTCAAGGGTCCATGTGGTGGTTCATAGCTGCCTATAACTCCAGCTCTAGGGGATCCAGGGAACACACATAGACATTTGCATGCACACACAGACACATGGGGGGGGGAACACACACACATATATGCATAGAACTTGGCATGATAGACTTATGAAGGATTTCCCCCTATTACTGATGTAGAAGGACTATGAGCTCGTATCACAGAAGGAGACTATGCCTGTGACTTATTCTGGAAATACTAAAAGTATTCCATTCCTCACTGAGTTACCACTTATTCCTTGTATTGTGTATAAAACCTTTAAAATACCTGAAATCTAGTGACTTGGGAGTTGGCTCCATTGGTAAGGGAATGTGTTCTCAAAGTGGGAGCACCTGAGTTCTAATCCCCCAACACTCACATAAGAATCGGAGTGTGGACACATGTGAGCAGCACTGGGTGAACCGAGTCTAACAGATCTCAAGACCTTAAAAGCCAGCTCACCAGCGCTGCAGAAAGTGAGCTTCGGGGTCAGGGCCCAAGGAAATAAAGCAGAGACCAATAGAGGAAGACATTCAACTTTGACCTTTGGCCTCCACATGTGCACAACCAACTGTGCACCCATAAATGTACAGACACACAATATATACACACACAATTAAAAGTTAGGTGTTGTTTTTTTACATTTTTAATTAAAATCCTTTTCCCTATTCTTCCCTCCCTCCATCCCTTTCATCCTCCCCCATTTCAAATCAATAGCCTCTTCTTTAATTGCAATTGGTCATCCAGTACAAAGTACTCAGCCCGAAATCATATACACACAAGCAACAAAAAATGGACTCAGCATATGGTATTTATATCTGTATGGATGTGTGTATAAAAAATAATGAAATCAAAATTTAGATGTAACCAGATTTCATAAAGCATATCTGTGAGTCCAGTTAAATTCCCAATTGCAGAACCAAGAATCTTTGCCTCAAACTCCAGAGGTTTGTGACCTCTGTGTTTCCTGTGTTACAATCCCAGTCTTAAGGATCCTGGCCCACTCATTTGAAGTCATGTGATCACCAGTCTCTGAAGGGTAAAGCTTGGGTCCCTGACAAAAGTGATGCCACTATCCACTACAATTAGGGTTAGAAAGCCCATCGTAGATCCTGATGAAATGGTGTCAGGATCAGGGCTCTCAACTGAGAGGAGTACTGAGCTGTGCAGTCTGTCTGTCTGCCCTCCTCACAGCAAGGTCTATAGACTAAGAATCCTCTGATTGTCAAGTAATAAATAATATAAAATATACCTCCAGGGTACCCAGTGTCTCTTCCCTTCTGCTGTGGCTTGCTTTGAGTGTGTCTTCGAGGTGGTCAGCTTGGTCTCCACTAAGGCCAGGGAGAGGATGACAGGACCCATAAGAGGTAGAACCTTAGGGCAGATCACAGTGCTCCCGAGTTTAGAAGGCATTGATGCAGTTGCCATGGCAATCTGAGTTTTGACTTAGATATTTTTAAGAACCCTTGATGCTTTTGCTAAGGTTCCCAGCATCTACATGGCTGCTCACAACCATCTTTAACTCCACTTCAAAGCAGTTTGATGTCCTCTCCTGGCCTCTGACAGTGCTGTATACACGTGAGGCATTCTCATACATACAAACAAGCAGTTATACACACAACAACAAAATAAATAGATCTTCAAAAATACCTATGTCCATCAACCTCGGTTTTGACATGAGCAAAGTCTTGTTCGGGTGTGGAATTTATATGAAAGGAACGGAACTTGACTGCCTCATAGGCTAATATGCCTGTTGCATCACTTCTTTGAGTATGACAGACAAAAGCTTGGGCTCCTCTAATGAGATGTCCCAGGAAACAACGGAAGAAAAATTTGGATGTGATAACCACTCCTACCCGTTTGTCTTTGCAGACCATAGACAGAAGTGAGGATGCGCATCTGAACCTTTACCTTCAATGAAGAAACGTCACTGAGCAAGAAGTTAGTTGGCCTCCAGTTTGCACAGGCGCCAAGGGAAAGCTTTCTTCTTCTTTTATTTTTATTATTTTTTTATTTTATACTTTACTCAAAGAAAACAAAATTTTTATGTGCTGTGCGAATGGTTCCTTCGTGTGGTCTAACAGTTATTTTTTTTGTCATTTTTTTTTTAATTAAAGGAAAAACAAATCCCAGAAAGGGAGGGGGTGGGGTGGTAAACATCACAAGTTGATGCTTTCTTTGAAAAAACAGAATTTGCCTGAAGGTATAAGTACTTTTTGTTGTTGTTGTTGTTGTTGTTTTTGGTTTTTATTTTTAAGTAGAAACGCCAATGTCAAGAGTTGGGCAACCAGAAGTGTAAGAAAATTATTTTCCTCAGTAATTAAGCTATTTTTTCCTTTTCTTTTCCTTTCTTGTTTGAACCTCCTGGGTTTTTTATATATATATATTTTATGTTTTCTTAGAAATATTTAGGTAAGGTTTATCTTGAATCTTAATTGCCTTAATTTTAAGGACGTCAAAGGCTCCAGAGGCATGCTTTCAACGTCTTGTTAAAAAAAAAAATCAAGAAAGAATTGAGGTATTGTGCCAGCTTTCACTGGCAAAGAAGACGGAGACTGAGTTTTGGGGGTGGAGAAAAAATGGAAACAAAACTGTACAGTTTAAAGGAAAATGTCTTTTCTTCATTTGAAGAAAATTTGTTGATAAATGAAACCAAGGCAACCGCAAGAATTGGGAAACCCTGGGACTTCTCATGAACTTTGACACAATCACTCTAAAAGGCTAAAAGACATTTTATGGTAAAGTTATCCACGGTGGTTTTAAGAACAACTGCATTAGAGATAATGCTTGTTCGGGGGGGCAGAATGCGGATTTTTTTTTTTAATTTACAAGAGCGTGGTTGCTAGCGAAAGCATTAGTGCTTTTTACCTGCAGTTTTTTCTATGAGCT